GGAATAATTAGTCTTTAATTCTATTGTTTCATACAGCCATACATGCATATGTTTAACCTCTTACTGGTGGGTATGGCTATAGCTGTTATGAAAATCCTACCCTTCATGACAAGAAATGTGCATACACATCATGACTCGCTCTAGCAAGCGATTGGATAGGCCAGCTGTGCACAGCAAATGCGCTGCCAGAAAGGCTAGATGGTTGGCAATAGTCGCTGGAATGAGTGCTACACAGAAAATTCAGGCCCTATCAGTGTTGAGTTAATAGATGCATAACCATTAGATAACTATACAAAGGATAGTGATTCTTTGTTTACTTTGTTCGTAGTAGATGCTCTACGAATAAATGTAAAGTTTGATATGATTTTCAAAGTTTAGGAACAGTTACATAAGTTAATCCATTGGATCCAGATGTTTCGCTGCCATCATGTGGCCCAAAATACAGGCATTAGGCTTACGTGAGAGGACACTCTGCCAGGGTGTTGCTTGTAGGCCATGCCCGAAACGAACATATGTGCGGTGACAAACTCCATGCCTCCCCTTTGCGTATTTTGTCTTTTCAGCTTTTTTTTTTTTTTTTTTTTTTTTTTTTTTTTTTTTTTTTTTTTTTTTTTTTTTTTTTGCTATTTTTCAAGTATATTTTGTCATTTAATTTACTTTATCCAGATTAGTAATTAGACTATTTTCCTTGTACAGACTCCATATCATCTCCCTACGTAGTCTGTAACTCAGTATAATAATGATAACATTAAGTAAAATTTTGTTATTTGTCATTTGAAAAAAAAAAAAAAAAATCAATTAGTTTTCTGTAATACAACCTTTGCTGCTGGTCATGGCAGGAAAAGGATCTTGAGCATGGCCAAATTTTCCAAATTTTCAAGATCAGTCATCCAAATCGTAACGGTTGATAAAGCTTACAATAGAAAAAGAAAAATCTTTAGCTATGAGGGAAAAATAGTGAATACATAAATCCAATAATTTTGAAAAAGCATGAGTGGTCTGAACACATGCGATTCCACTAAGGGCCTGTGAGGTCCAATACAAGATACAAAACTTGCAAGCTATAGATTGTTCAATAATTACCGGTGACCATGCAAATGGAGGGAATTGTACGATTTGATTTAATCTTTCACAAAATATGTATATATCTTCTATCGACGTCTTTCCAGGTGGAATTCATGAAGAGGCTGGCCAGGGAAGCTGCAGCGGCGGCCAACCCCATGCTCAGTCCCGAGGTGCACATCATGGCCCAACAGGTGCAAGAGGTTGCCCCACATTTCCCTGGATCAGATTAAGCGTGATTTCTAGGTGGGTCAGTTTGTCGTTGGGTCTTCAGGGGAAGCTTTTTTCATTTTTAGTTACTGAGTTGTATTGTAATTGTGTTGTATGGTAGAGAATTTTTTCATGTTTGATGTTAGTCAGGGGATGAATTAGGCATGAAAGAGGGAAAGTATTGTAAGGAGTGATGTAGTTTTTTTTTTTTTTTTTTCTATTTCAAATGGGTGTAGAAGTACATAAATGTTTCATAAATTAATAGGTGACTTTTCAAATAAAAACACCACACAACTCTGTCTCTGTCTCCTTCAGTGCGGACGCAGAACGTTGACCAGACGATCACCAACTTCCTTGAGGGTAATGTGCCAGAGCCCATTCCCGAGCCTCGCCCAGCCACCCCCAGCCCTGTGGTCTCCAGCCCTACCCCCCCACAAGCCACAGCACCACCATCACCCCCATACTTCATCGCCCACAAATAGTGCTTCTAAGTCGACACTGGAGACGGCCACCTCTCTTGCAGGTTCATCGGAGGCTAATGTTTCCCTGAATACAGCAGCAAAATCATTTGAAAGTCAGCGACAGAGAGAATGACATCTTTCCAGACGAGAAAAGCACAGCTCATAGAGAATGCGAGGAGAAAGTATATTGAAAAGCACGGCTTACAGTTGCCCAGAAATGATTGCTGACAGATTATATGTTAATTTTTTCTCGCTCTTCTTTTTCACCCAATGCCCCCCTCCTTTTTGTTTGATGAGTGGAGTTAAGCTGTATCAGCCATCTCTTAAGGGTCAGAAGTTTGCTCGGAACTTTGGTCATGTTGGAACATAGAGTTGAGTGATAGTTCTGCTAATGTGCTCTGTGATTCTTACCTTAATAAGGGTCGGTTTGTGTATAATTTTTTTTTTCTTTTCTTTCTTTTTTTTTTGAGTGGTACATTCACAAGTCTCTCTTTCTATCACTTTTTCTTCCTTTCTTGTTAGTATATTAAGAATTCAGCAAGGGTCACTGAATTTGTTATTTAGAAGTTAGCAGTAATGTTGATTCATGACTAACTGTTCTATAAGTTATTTTAAAATTGTTATCGAACCTTGTATTCTCTTTGTACTTTACTCCTTTTCCAGTTATTGGATTATATATTACATTAGACAAAGAGAAAACAATCCTTTTATTTCTGTAAAAAAAAAACTAATCTCAGTTGATATTTATTATTACCAAAAACTGCAGGAGTTATTGTCGTAATTTGGGCTAGACATTCCCCATTTTTTCCTTTTATTGTTTTTGTAGTTCCCAACAGTCTTTCATGAAACCAGAAGATACCATTATTATTATTGATGTTCTTATTATTACCATCGTTATTATTCTGATTGTCATTATTATTGTATTATTACTCATCATTATTATTGTTATTTATTATCATTATCCCAGTAATCGAATTATTTCTGTGTGTCAAATAGACATTTATAATTATTATAAGTGTTTTGAACAGTGAGAATTTTAGATTGTATGATGTATGAGCTAGATACTTGACCTGGGAAAATTATTAATACTTGTATGTAAGATTTTAGTGTATATAACAGATTTTTCACCTTATTCTTTATTTTTATTTACTTTTGTGTGATTATATACAAGATTATCCACTCATGGAAGGTCTGGAAGCGGAAGGTCTGATTACGAATTGAAGAAAAAGAAATGTATCGGAAAGTGTGTGAAAGGTATTGTTAATGAGAGGGAAGTGACAGGCTGCTGTGTGTTGGTCTTGCCTCGATATATTTTAAAAAGAGACAACAAAAATATCACAAGTATATAGATGTGTGTTTTATGTGACCTTTATTATATTTCTTTCTCTTTTTTATGGGAATCTGTGACGGGAAGAGCTGAAATCTTTGGTGGAGACGGTGTTAAGTACAAAGAGTTGATAAACAGAATTTAATAAAGATGATAAAAGACTGTTATTTAGCTTGAAGTTTTTTTTCCAAGGGATTCAAAATGCATGAAATAAGAATCTTCAGGAATCTTGAGAAGGTTAAGATGATTGAGCAGAAGGAAAGGAAATACATAACCCTAATGAAGCATTGAAAGAATTAGATTTCAAAGATGTGCAAGTGAATGAAGGACACCAAAAAATATCTTTGCTGGAGCATTACTTATAAAAGAACACCACCAAATTTTGGGTAACTGATAGACCAGCCTTCTAAGCCAGACAGAACTTTCCTATAGTGCTATAAGACCTTAGATGTCTAGCACATTTATTTTGCTATTTAATCATTATCCATTTAGCATTAAGCCAGACAGAATTATAGGTATATTTTGTGACTATCCCATAAATTCATTGTGCAGGTATGGACAGCATTGAGTGTGGCACAAAGACTTCATGCTGGTGCATCTCTTATCATTTTAACCCAATTGTTGCAGCAGAAATCATTTTCAATAGTATGTGGTGACTACAAGAGAGAGTTTAGAGTAGTTTTAACTAAACTCCAATGCATGTGTATATCATCTCAAAAAACAAAATAATCTACTGGAACATTTCTTGACACGTTTTAAACCATGATGTGGGCTCGATATAATTTTGCATTTCTCAGGTTATATACTTAATTAGTGAGTCAGAGTCTTTATTATCCTGTGTCGAGACATTGGCTCCTGTCACATTATGGAGAAAATTGTACGGGTGCTAGGTGACCTCTCAAACTATCAATGTGTATTCCCCCCAATCCCTTGCTCTTTGTTGTGGAGGGCTTAGTTGACAAAAACTGAGGCGCAAAGTTGGAGATTGCCCTTACCTTGGACCTCAGCCCTCGCCTCAACTAATCTTGCATGGTCTTTTCCCCTTTCCTTTTTCTTCTCTTTTTCATTCTCTTCTTCTATCCACGTCCTAAAGTGTGAGAGCTGTGCAGGAAGGATGAAAGGCTGGCTTTGTGTCAGTTCTGAATGGCCATTGCACACCATTTGCTCTTACTTCTTTACCCTCTTCACTACCATACTGCCGGTAGCGCTCTACAACCTTTGACGTCTTGCATATTTTATACTAATCAGTAACTCCTTTTTACCCATTTTTTCCATAGTATATTATTATAATGCTGTATGATCTTTCCTTACCTGGGAGGTTCACCCCCAAGCCTCACCATATTATATTTTTAATACGCGGTTTAGGTGCTGACGTGGCTAAGACTTTTCAGTGAATGGATAGAATAAATAAAAGTGTGGGTCCTATGGCCGGGATGATGCTTTAGGAATCCAGCCGTGGTCTAATCCTGCTTCTTTCAAAATTTTAATCATTTTGATTGGGTTTACATATGACCTCTGTCTGGCAGTCCTGGAACTAAATTTGCCCAAAACTTAGTGGTGTATCTATATGTTATATTATGTATATGTATATAAAAGAGCTTTGTCAGCATCAAGAAGCAAGCAAGAGAATGCTCTGAAATAAAGAGAACAATCTTAGGAAAAATAGAGAGAGATAAATGGAAATGAATGTTATGTCTGTTTTAAGAGTTTGAACCTAGGTAGACACATGTATGTATGTATTATCATTAACATCTGTTGAGTGTGCGCTAAAATTTTATAATTATACACAGATGCCTCCATGTTAAAGTACAAATAGGGAAGTAGGTAATTTATGGTATTTGAGGAGTTAGAGGCATGAAAGAAGCAAAATATACAAATACATTGCTTTATTGTAATTTTTTTGGTTTTGTTATCAGTTCATTCATTCAGAAAATAAACACAATACATATCAAACAAGTCAACGTCTGTCTTATGACAAAGAGAAAAATAATTGCCTTTAGAGATTTTTGAAAATTGTGGCATTACTTGACTTTATACTTCTTTGACAATAACATTTTGTAATCCAAATTATTGTTGGCTTTTTTTACCTTTTTTCTGCTTTGCTTTGCATGTTTCTTATAGGTATAAAAGTATTATTTGAAAACAGTGCGAATGTGTAAATTGGATGAAATTTGTTATTTTTCACTTTATTCCTTTTTTCTGAAGTATTTCATCTGTTTAGGAAGTTTAGTGTGCATCATGAATATATTCTGAGTGCATGACAGACTTACGAGAATAAGTTGATAATGTTTACCTTTCACAGATACTTCAGCATAAGTACAGAGTATGAATACCATGAATTCTCCCATTGTAACACAAATTTTCACTTTTTTTCTCTCAAGAAACACATCAGCGTCATTTCAGTAATCGAGTTCACCATTCCTTATCCAGTAAAAGGTTTACTTTACTTTGCTTTATGCACAGAAAGATACTATCAGTTATGACTTGTATTTAAATATGTTCGGTTGATGAAGTACACATATAAAGACAAAGCAAATGAAGCCATCAGATGTAATATCTTATTTGTATTACCATGACATATGAGGCTAAATTTGTTACACTAACCTGTGACGTCGTATTTTTTTCTATATAGGAAAAATTATGATCCTGATATTACCAAAGGCTAGTAAGAGATTTGATTTTGAAGAAATTAAGTAATTAAAATCTTTCCAAAACTAAAACATTATTTTGCAAGCTGCTCATTTTTTTACCGGAATAATCCAGATTATTCTAACAAATCCTGTGACAAGAAAATAACTAGGAAAATCTAAATATGATTTTTCTCTGAAAATTGGTGTTGTCTTTTATAATATATATAATATGTGTATCTGAATGACCACTTTTTTTGCATACATGTATGTGATTATGTAGAGTACTTATGTATATATTTGTAAGTATGAATCCCTCAGTCATAATGTTGGAAAATTCCAGTGTAACATCAAATTAAAAGAGAGAGGAAGAAAAATATCTAAAAACAAATTTTAGTCATATTTGCAATTTTTTTATCATTATTATGGTTTTAATATGTTTAATCAAAAGTAATGCATATATTTTTCCAGGGCTAGTATATAGGTGACAAAAATTTATATACTCTAAAAGATTATTTTTTCTTTGAACAAAAAATATTTAAAATTTGATAATTTGTTAGTTTAAAGTTTGTTGTAAATTTTATGCACATATGAATATAATTTTGTCTTTTTTTC